AAAAAAAATTTATTCCGGTGATCAGAAGATAAACTCTTAGTTTTGTTTGAATGTGCTAAGGTCACCTTTTGCAAGGATCCCAAATGTGAATGTTTGATTGGGTGGTGCAACACTTGGATTTGGGTACGACCGGTGTATAGGTCAGAAGCGACCATTCCAGTCTCCACTGTCTTTTTCTGCAATGTTCTTCTGCCTAAACTGCTGGTTGGCTAGTAGCCCTTGTTGGATCCGGAGCCCCGCCAAGTGGGCATCAATCCCGGCGGCGAGGAGGAGGAGGAGCAACATGGTCGGGAGGGGCTGCTCTGTCATCAAAAACACAGATGGAGAGGAGGAGAGATAGATCCACTGTAGGGGGGTTTGGTGTAGTAGACCTTGGCCGCCGTGAGGGCGGGTAAGAACGCGACGGAGACGCGTCTGCTGTGGTTCCCGCCTAAACTGCTAGCTGCTGCTGGCGGGGCTCAAGAATGAGCCCTATAGCAGAGCGGGACGAGTGAGTTCCGTTAGCAATCGGTGAATATTCTTCAACGAATAGTGTAATTGTTTGTCGGCAACGATGGCCGCTGTTCCTTTTGGCCCTATCGCTGTCATTGTCCTCTCGCTATCGCCTCATCGCAAGTGTCCCTAGCAGTCAGCATCTCTACAACGCTCAGCGCTGCCATTTCCACCGGCACTTACCTGCTATTATGCGATCACCTCTCAACCCTAAAGGAATTATTTTTACAGCACCCCGCTGATCCTTTGTATTGTTATATTTTCCTCTTTGCTATTCGACCATTTAGTGACTATAAAGTTTTCGCCCGCTACAAACCTGCTTTCGTACTCTACCATATATGCATGCTTGATATAGTGCTTGACGTCGCTGATTAGTGTTCGATAGCTGTAGAACTATCCAGGCGATCTATTCGGTCGTCTGTGTTACCTCCTGCGACCTCGACCGCTACAAAATGTCGCTTAGTTGACCTCCATGTAGTTGGACATGGAAGCATTTTCGAAAGTTCAAACCCATGGACTATTTTTCCGGGTGTTCAACCAATTCCCCCGATCTTTTTAACAAGTCCTCACCTTTAGTTCAAATTATTTGAGGGGAATGTAGGTGCGTACATTTAAACCTGTGTGCATGCTTGTTATGATCTCAAAAAATAGTATACCAGCTTATTGGCGATGCCAAATGACACGAGCCAATGTGTCTTACATGCTCCTAAAAGGATTCAAAAGTTAACGAGTTGAACGCAAGTGTGGTCAGAGTGGCCCAGTAGGCAGCCGCATAGTAATTTATGTTGTAAATGTGG